TGAGCGGCCGGCGTCTCTCCTCCCGCAACGCTCAGCCTCCTATCACAGTCCGGAAGAGCGGTGTGGGGACGGAGACAGCCCGCTCCTCCCTGCATTGCTCGCTCCGCCTCCTGTGACAGCGTGTATGAGAGGAGAGCGGGACCAAGCAGTCAGGGATCAGTGATCGCTGAGTGTTTGTACATAACATGAGGACATAGTATGGTTACTATATCCTCAATTATGAATGAATGGGAAGTGAGCTACATCCCCTCCTGTCCATTCATGATTGTGGTTATAGTAACCATACTCTGTCCTCATGTTATGAATGATTAGGAGCACTCAGTATAGAGGATTCCCGATCATTGATAACAGGGGACACAGAAAAAGAGATTCATTACACGTGAGTGCGATATAGATGAAGAAGGACAAGGCTAGCGATGGGGCCTAGCACCAACCTACTAACCCAACTAACCACTGACTAAGATTGCCACCTTTTCTTCAAGTGAAACCCGAACACACCCGAATTACAGAGCAGATGGGAGACAGTCCAGGGAGGGAGTACGGAGACCAGCTATAGAGAACTACAAATCCCAGCAATACATTATACAGCAATATCAAAAATTATGAAGCTACATATTCTGTGTTGTTCTGGTTTGGCACCTTGATGTCTTGAGGTGGCCTGTGCAGGTACTGAGTGACTTGTGTTCAGGTGCCCGCTGGCTGGACACCCAGACACAAGACTCCAAAACCGCACTGTCCGGGTGAAAATCGGACGGGTGGCAACTCTAATCCACATCTAGCAGTTGAAGTCCTTGCAACACAGTCCCATCTAAGGGTGATAGGACGGGCTTACTGATAATTCATATTTGCAGGGTTCAGGTTTTTCACAATATTTCTTGGTGCCCATTGGTGTCCCCATCAACATCATTCTCATGTAACCCAGTTTCATGTCAAATACTTGGTCCGGTACCCCACGCTGCTCTCCTAGTGCAGAAAGTCATTCCTCAAAACAGATCAGCAATTGCACAAGGCAAACTTCTGCCTAGACAGTTTCACATAGCGCCGCCCACCGGAGCAGCAGTGACGCGACGCTCGGCGAGGTAAGTAAGAAGAAAACAAAACATAGCGCAAGCTTCGGCGCTAGGGATCGGTATCGGGACATCCCTAATAGGTGCGATTGCGTGGTACAGTTTAACACACCTGTACTAGTGTGATCGGGCCCTCAAAAACACATACACAAACATATACATACACAAACACATACACACAATCCCAAAAATGCTTTTTTTTTTTTTAAGGTCCACCCAGTCTCCGTATCTTACGAGAACTGGAGTGGATCCTCAGCCTGGGGCCCAGTGTGGGCTGTAGTGCTGTGACGGAGCTCCATCCATGCGTGCATTGCTTGCACAGCTCCCTCATGTGCCCTGTAGAGGTGCCGGGAGCCAGAATGTGACGTCACTCTGATCCAGGCACCTCTACAGGACACATGAGGGAGCTGTAAGCAATGCACATATGCATGGCGCTCACTCACATCCATAGCCCCATTCCATCCCTCCTCAAGCTGACACTCGGCGCCGGGCAGTATATTTTGAATGGCTGCTTGGCTCAAGAACTGATGGTGCTGCGCTATGGGGAGGCTGAGGAGCCTCTCACCTAGAAAAGTGGAAGGCACACGGGGACCCACTGGCCACGGGGCCACGACCCACCAGTTGAGAACCAAGGGTTTAGATCATCATATTGTCATGAGACCTTCCAATAATACTAATGTCAGTCGTTGTTTCTACTGTGGTATCATTAGGAGACGTGCGGTCCCAGACTCGTCTCCCAGACTAAAGCGTTCCACGACCACCGCCAGGATGATTTCTCCCTCTCTGCTCCCTCTCCCTGATGTCACTTCCTCCCACTACAGCAGCGGAGGAGAAAAACAGAGGGAGGGAAGGAGAGTCAAGGGACGGAGAGAATAATGTGCCTCGGTGTGAGGTGGGCTGATACCCGGGCGCAGGATTCCAAACCTGGACTGTCTGGGTGAATCCCGGACGGTTGGCCACCTTACCATTGACCAGTGGGTGAATCTGCACGCCCCGGGTTAATATCCACCCATTACCTTCTGCATTATGCCTTCTTGTCATGCCATTGTTCAGGGACTGTTGAGGTTAAACAAGTTTTGGGATCAAAGTGGACACAAAGATGAGTGGCGGGGGGGGGGGGGTGGGGGGTGTGTTTGAGCCTAAAACTTAGCAATCGTGCGACTTTGCTACACAGAGGAATAACAATAACAACTTTTTAGTTCAGCAAAGATCCTCAAACTTAGGCAATGCCATGCCCGGGTCCTGCATCTCCTGTCCTGCGTCTAGTGAGACCTAACAGAGCAAGTTATTCAGAGTGATTTGTTGTGTTACCTGGTATAGATTTAATGAAATAAATACCATATTTTGGGGACAGATAGAGCTTTCTTTTGGTGGTATTTAATCACCACTGGGGGGTGGGGGGTTTATTTTTTACTATAGTAAGGAAAAATTACCAAAATGAAAAAAAAACAACTGTTTCCCTTGTACTGAATTATAAAGCATTTATTATTACCCATTTTTTGGGTAAAATATAAAAGTCGGGGTCACGTCGAGTAAATAGACACCAAACATGTCAAGCCTTAAAATTGCGCGCACTCGCGAAAACCTCCAAAAACTTACAATACCAAAATTGACCATGAGCGACACTTTAAAAGCTTTTACGGCTCATCAGTTTAGTGTTATCAGTGATTGATGACCCGATAATTATTGCTCTCACTGCGATGTTCGCGGCGATATGTAACATGTGTAGCACAATTGTCGTTTCCGCGTGCTGGCGCATCTGACGCGTATTTACATTCATATATGCTTATACATGGGGGGACATACATTTTTTTTTTAGATATGTGACTTTTATTTTATTTTTTTAACTTTTTTTATTATTGTTTTTCACTTAATGTTATTGCTGTCACAGAGCGGGATAACAAGTCTCAATCATACCTGGGAATCCGTCTGTCTATCCGTCATGTGCCCCCCGCAATGCTGATCCCCCTTCCCAGAATGCACCAGGGGGCTCTTCTAATGTCCCTCCTTTATATCTCTGGTGAGACTTATTCCCACTGGATGTCTATGGATTAGTACATACCACCGCACATTCCTTTTGGTGGAGACATTAGTACTACCAGTATTAGTACCTCTGGACACATGTGGACAGTTATATGTCACTAAACCTTTTACAGCCGCGGAGCATCTACAGTACACAGCACATTACTTCCTGTCGGCTGACTGTCCATCATTGCTGTGCTAATGATGGAAGCACTCCAATATCATTCAGAGATTGAGCCCGTTGGGCATCGTGGACCTTCACTCATTCTTGATTGACATTCTGTGTGATGGCACTTCACCATCTTCAGCCGCCACGTCTGACTCTCTATGACTATTTATTTTCTGCCTGGAGAGGACGGGGATCTTTGGATCCTTATAGTATCAGTCAAGATGCAAATGTTCTTGTGCCCGTTCTTAGAGTTAGAAGCGTGTGTTGTACCTTCCGTCCATCACACACCAGCTGAAGTAAAGAGAACCGGTCACAGTGTCTATTATTAGGCTCATATTTAATCTGGGGCTGGAGTCTTTCTCCGGCTGACTTTCAGGGTTGTGCTGGTTCCGGGGTAGAGCACACTGCAGCACACAATGACACGTCTTCCTCAGCACTAGCTCCTCTCTCCGGAGTCAGCAAAATGGCGGCTTCCAGTGCTGGAATAGTCTTTGCTGTTCCAGGAAAGAGACATCCTGACAGGTTCCCCTTGAAGGTAGAAGGCAACCCTTAAATGCCTCTATGGACATTGAACATCCATGGTGTTATGTATGTATGTATGAAGGAACGTTATATGACTGCTAAATGTTCAGAGTCATTTTAGGATGAACTTCCACTTTTATCTCAAACACTCTCTACAGTTATTGATATCTTCAGCCTAGAAGTTGCCCATAGTGCCTGCCACCCTACAAAGCTACAGAACCAAATACAGAGCGGTAGCCATATTAACCCCTTTTCATGGTAAAATCTGCATTTTTTGCCTGTAGAAAAGTTACACTCTCCAAACATGTTATATTTTCTGAGAATATGTAGAATAAATAGATGGCAGTTGAAAGGTTTCTATTGACACTCGAAGGGATGGAGGTTTCTTCCCATTGTTTGTAAGCTGCTGTTGACCAACTCCTGGAAACAATGCTGGTTCCAGGGCAGGACTTACCGACGGATCATCAAGCATAACTTCCATGGAACCAGCATCACTTCTAGAAGTCTTGCCATGGTATCTATACTGACGGTTTCCCTTTAAGGGGTGTGCAGTGCTTAGGAATACAGCTTCCACTGCAATTAAATAAAGTGCCTCTGAAACCAAACCTTTTTTTTTAGTTTTGGATGGAATGATGAAGGGTTAGACCCTCTGCCAGATTTTTATTGCTGTTTGTGTCCATACTAGAGACATTCACTCTGTCCATGTGTACTGGTTACCATTGCCACTAGTGAAGTGAAAGGAAATGTAGTGATCCGGGTTTGAGGATCTCTTTCATTTTAGACTTCTGTTCTTGCCACTTATGGATTGAGCATTGTGTTGTGTATAATATGGTTTTGGGTTATGTTGGGTCACCGGAAGCTTTACTATTAACCCCTTCGTGACTGACGACGTACAGTGTACGTCGCCAGCATCGGGGCTGTTTAAACAGACTCCCGGCGACTTTTGCCGCCGGGACTATGTTTAAAAATACAAATGTAAACTGTCCTGAAACCTTCAAATGTAGTTCATGGAACTCGGGAGGAATGGGTTCGGGTTCTCTCGGTTTGTAGAGGACAATGTTTCAGTCTCTGGTGGTCTTCATCGGGTCAGAATCGGTGTTCTGGGGATCTGGGCTCTCCGTAACAGACAAGCCTTGTATAGAATAAGACATCAGCAGAATAGAAGGAGATGTAGAGAATGCGGCACGGCTCCGGGTTTTATGGCGTGGTGGCACCAGGTCTCACTGTAAAGGGAGAACGGGCTTCAGGGAGTTTACATTTTTAAAGCTGTCATCATATTTATCAACTTTATCTCCTGCCACAGTGACCATGTGACCACCTTCGTAATTCTCCCTAGAGTACAGGACCCAGGCCCCGCTGACCACTTTATGTGATAAAGCCTTCTTGCCAAATCCGTGGGATTTCACAGAATCCACAGACACCTGCAGGGTCACTTCTTCGCCCCCAAGCGTCTCTTCCTCATACAGCGTAATCTTGTGATTATCCAGACCTCCCTTCACACATCGCACAGAGCGGATTTTGCTGTCGAACCCAGATAGTGAGCTGTAGCTGCCTGCTTTATAGCAGCTGAATTCTCCTTTATAATCGGTTTCACTGAAGATAATCCAAGTGTCTCTATGGACTTTGAGAGACAAGACTTTCTTGAGGAATGGAACATCTTTCAGGTCAGTAAAGTCATGGTCTATAAAACAAGGATCTCCTTTGAAATCTGGGAACTCAAACAGCTCAATAGCATTCATCTTCCAGTTGTATGCGAATGTCGGGTGACAAGAAGGCTCTCTGGAGATACATGTTTCTCTCCATGAAAGTGAAGGACGGGGATAACCTTCTGGGGAAAGTCATGGTGGATGGGTACCTGTCATTATGGGGCAGCACAAGCCATACAGTGCCAGAAAACTAAAAACACAAGGCGCACAGCTCACCGCTATCATGCGTCCCCGCAATCCACACTCTGTACATGGATGACTCTTCTGAAGTGATCGGCTCACAAACTGTAGAACCAGCACACAATGATCTTCAAAGAAATGCAAACTTTATTCCACATGCATCTATACAAAGCACAACGCGTTTCTGCCTTACTCGGTCTTAGTCAGGGGTGTGGAATTCCTTTCTCCCGACGCCCGGGACAGGCAGTTTCGGCCGCCGGGCGAGTAGTTTTTTTCTACATTTAGCCCTGCTGCGGGTAGGGAGGAGAGGGCTAAATGTAGTGTGGGAGCCGTTTTGTACAGGTGATCTTGAATGGCTGTACAGCCGTCCAAAATCACTTGTAACTAGCCTGATTCTCCCTCCCCTGTCCTCTCCTCACCTCTGTCTCGGGCAGCCGTGTCCTCTAATACCACTACCGGCTGCCTCTCCCGGCCTCTCCACTCCCGGCATCCTCCAGAACATTGAGGACAAGATTTGGGGAACATTAGAGGAAAATCCTCAAAAAGGCTGACGATCACTCATTACCCAGACACTTCCTAGAGGCACACAAATCTAATCCAATCCTGAGAGTCTTTAGGATTGAAGTTCTTCCAGAGAACCTAGATGAAGGTGTCAGATTTAAAAGATTGTGTCACAGAGAAGCTGTTTGGCTATATTCCCTGAACAGTCTACATCCTAGTGGTCTTAACGAAGGCCTTGAACTGGCCACATCTAATCTGTTTTATAGTGATGGCTGCCAGTCATTCATCATGTTTCATCGGAATCTATCATCGATTAAGCACACCCAGTTTTGCTCACAATTTCCATCCTGTTTAGATTGGTTTGATTTCTTTCCATACCTCATCCCATGTTTTTTCCCATTCGCCATTCATCGATCCCCGTGTGGGTTAAAGTGTCAACATCCAAAATCTTTTTATATGAATCCCCCTCACAGGTCTGCACTCAGGTCTGCCTCTGCAGCTCTCATCTATTCCACCCTGGATTGCCATCTCATATTTCCTGAAAGCTTATTGTGATCTACCTTTGTGAGTACCATTTTACTCCAATAAATAAAAAAAAACATCTGCACTAGGGTAGGCACCCCCTGTTTTTTGTTCTTTCTGATCTCCTGGTGTTTGACCCGGCTTGGCTATCTACTCTGATGCTCTTCTGGATCCTCTCGACCTCGGCTTGTTTTCTAACCACGCTCCTGTCTGCTGCCCTGTACTTCGCTGCCCACAAGTTGCTGATCCGGCCTGTCCCTGACTACGCCTTGCCTACTGTCCTGATACCTCGCTGCTCGATTGTTACAGATCCGGCTTGTCTTGGACTTCCCTGCTACCGGCACTCGTGCCTCTCCTGTCCTAGTGCACCTGTTCCACCTCCGGGGGTTCTTGGACTTGAGCTGCAAGAGAGGCCTTCCTCGTCAACTCAGACTCCTCTAAGGTAAGTGGTTCTGACACCGAGGGATGTAGCTCCCATGTTTGTTGTAAGGCATCTGCTTTTAGCTTGTGTTTCTGTATGTAAAACTTTGCTGCCACTGGCCAGTTACTACCCCCTCATAACTGAAGGCTGTAAGTCTGATTGTATTAGTTAGATGGCTGCCCGTGCCTGGAGTCTCCACATCTAGACCCTTCACACTGCCATCCGAATAAGGACTTTTGGCTTCATTAAAGCTCCATGAACACACTGGGGATACAAAGGAGTGTTCCCGACTACTGCAATACACAAAACAGAATGGTATTACTGTGGGGGGTGTTGGCAATATAGGAGGATCATGTTACATGTTTTTTGAGCTGAGGAGCTAGCATTCTCATTGTTCTGCCCTCAGGCAGGATATGATTGACTTGCCTACCTGCCATCTCAAAAACGGACACAAGATGGTGCTAAAGAGAATATATACAACAGAGCAGACACTTTTTCTAATGTAAGTTCCCAGCAACCTTCAGCCCAAGAAGAAGGAAACGGTTGTATCCAGGGACCTCATACTCCATCTTGGAACCGAAAAGAGGAACATCTAGCACCATCTTGAGCACATGTTCAGAGAAAACTCCCAAATTCCCCTTAAGGCAGCATCGCTGGTAGGGATGGACTTGTTTATATTTATATATGTGAGCTATCACTGTATTCACATGTTCATATATTTATTGAAAGTACTATTTTTACCAGTTTCACTCACCCTGTTTTCTTAATAAAGCTTGAAGATCCCATCCAGTCTGGCTTATTGCAGAGTAGGTGGTTTTAGCTGCATGTCGAGCTATACACAGGCCATAAGGTAACGTGGAGCGGGTACATAACACTCGTAGTAAGCCTAATAAAGATTTCTGGATTCAGTTATTCAGTCCATATAGCAAGTTAATAAAGTGGAAGCGGGCATCAGCCCTATGCAGGGCCAGATTTACTCTCCCAGCCGTCCCAAGGCCAGGTTCCACAATACGCCTCACACCGCGCCGCCAACCCCCCTCCCCATCAATTGTGAATGGTAACCAGATGGCAGGGTTAGTTTCAATTTTTTTTTTTCTGTTTCTTTATTTTTATCACTTTTTTTATTTGTTTTATTTAATTATTTCTTCTTATTTTTGATTTTTATTTATTTTTTTATCAATTTATATATTTGAATGGCACACTACGGTCCGCCGCCAGGACACCTTACACCGGCGCCCGCAACTTCCCCACAAGGTCACCACTGCCGCCCCGAGGCCGGGCCTGGGTGGCCTTGTGGGAAATCTGGGCCTGGCCCTAAGCATACAATTCTCCATATCACATGGCCAAGTTTGAGCCACCCAACGGGATCTTTTACACCCACACGTAAAACAAATTCACCTTTAAATTTTATCAGAATCACCAATCACTGTTCAACAAAAGTCTGGGGCATCCAAACTCAAAACACCATGTAGGAGGAGCCTGGACATTTATACAGATGGACCTGATGGGGAACTGAAAACCATCTGTCAATCAAATATCCTAAAATTACTCCCATCTGTTATGGGACTGGTGATGTCACCGCACCTTATTGGACAACCAAACGTATAGTCTGATGAGATGCGTGACATTTATGCTTTAATTTGCTGCTGCCTGCTAGTGGTTTCATGAAGAGCTAATTGAATTACTGTATCCACACATGTCTTTGGAAATATCGGATAATTGATTTGCCCAATTTTAGCCATTAGGCCGTCTTCTTCATGCTGAAGGCATTTGAAATACGAGTGAAATTCACTTCATTATGTTAGAGAACCTAATAAAGACTTTTGGGTTCAGCCAATATCTGTAAACACAGGGTGTGGGGGAAGGGTGGGCACAGAAGACAATGGACCCCACCACTGCAATCCACAGAACTCAAGCACTGATCGTTGACTGATCCACCCATCATAATGCCTTATGGGTAGGGATGCACCGATGACAAGTACCGTACTCGGTACAAGTACAGATACTTTTCCAGCTCCAAGACTAGACTAGAGAGAAATTCAAAAGTTAGGAGGCCGCTGTCATGTGTAAGGAGCACACGGAGCTCCCGGGATTTGTACATCTCTGTTGTAATGTATGATTTTGTTTTTATAAATATATATTCGGGATGCACCGATACCAATTTTGTAAGTACGTGTACTGGTACATCTTTCTTTATTGTCATGGGACAGTTTCTCTAAAACAATACAGACTAATGATTTCAGGACAGTGGTGGAGCGCCAGAGCCCGGTCCCAGCTGCAACCGCTGCAACCCTGGTAGTCCTCATGAAAATGCCAAGTATCTGCACTGGTATCTGAACTGGTATCGGTGCATTCCTAGTTATGGGTGTGTTAAAAATTCCCACAACACAAATTCTAACAAAATGTAAACATTTGCAGCAAATTGGAGTCCTAAAAATTCAACAAATTCATATTTGACCCCAAACCTGAATGTGAGCCCTAGATTGGTGTAACAATATCACTCCAGAGAGAGAAGTGGCCTCATCCGGACTACCAATGTGTGACCTATGGTAAACCAATGTTAATGATTGATAACACACTGCTCTGGATTCCTGAGAAATTAGAAAAAAAACTAATTTACCAAGAAATGTATTGTATTAAATATTAAATACGATTTACATTTTCTCAGGAAAGAAAAAGAACTGTTGATGAGTCAATATTAATGATTGGTGACGCACTGATCTGGATACCGGCCCAATCAAGTCATAGACTTTATCTATTGTGACAAAGATTAAATAGATTTTCCATTTTCTGAGGAAAGATTTAGAAATGTATTCTGCGGAAATATCTTCATTCTTTTACTGACACTGACCCACAGCTGAGATTTCTCTTATTAGCAGTCTTGTTTGCTCTAGTGGGATTTGGAGATCCCTGTTCTTCAGTTTTCATGGCCACTCATTTTTTGCGCTCCTTGCTTAGAAAAAAGTTACTTTGAGTCAATATCGGAATTTCCTGCATTGTTCCCTTTTATTTCTGAAGTGGCAAAACTGGTGGTCCCCGGGATGTTTCTCAACGCAATGTACATTGTTGTATCCTATATCTAAGAGACCCTCATCTCAGTGCAGCCCCCCATCCTAACACACTGATGCTGGTGAGCTAAGTTCCACCAATAAACTTTGTTTGTTATGACTTATTTGATAAACGTATCCATCATGGCGGGGCTTGTATCATGCACCTCCCACCCACAGTTCTATTGCCCACATTTAAACGCGCAGTACTCAATGCGGTGCGTTCCATTGCAGTGCAACTTGGGTCATGACTTAATGACCAAGGACAAATGTGGGTCCTGAGCTTACACAGGTTGAGAACCACTGACCTAGATAGTTCTTGAATGATTCCATACTCTCAGCTCATACCACTGTCTATGGAA